AGAGTGGATGGATGGATGGATGGATGGAAGGAAGGAAGGAAGGAAGGAAGGAAGGAAGGAAGGAAGGAAGGAAGGAAGGAAGGAAGGAAGGAAGGAAGGAAGGAAGGAAGGAAGGAAGGAAGGAAGGAAGGATGGATGGATGGATGGATGGATGGATGGAAGGACGGATGGATGGATGGATGGATGAAAAGAAGGAAGGATGGATGGATGGATGGATGGATGGATGAAAAGAAGGAAGGAAGGATGGATGGATGGATGGATGGATGGATGGATGCAAATTAAAACCGATGACTGGGTCGTTCCATTGTTAGCCTGTAATATCTTAAACCTGTCTATGATTCTGAAGGGCGGTCGTTAAAGGAGGGATTGTTCACCTGGCTGAAGAGAGGAGGTACTTTGTTCCTCTGTGATGGGGTGGAGGGGGGGGTGATACCTGGAAGGAATCGACTCAATCACTGAATTGTAATTTTTTGGAAGCTGTAATCTGAGTCCACCACCTCTGTTTAAGGTTGTTTTTTCTCTCTTAACATAGATGGCTTCCTTCACACCCCTCTCAAACCACCTATTTTCTTTATCCAGAATGTGAACATTCTGGTCCTCAAGGATGTAAAAGGGACATTTTGCCAATGGAACAGGACAATATACATTTAAAATAAGAAAATGGATTTGTGCATTTTATCTAAATATCTAACTTTTAAGAGTAAAATTACTCATTCTATTGGCAAATTATCTCATTTACTTACTCAAATTAAGGGTAAATACACTTAATTTAAGAATTTTTAAACTTATTTCTAGATCATTTTTCCAGTGTAGCAGTGCTTTGCTCCATGTGAGAACATCTTAACATAAGTGACGACGGCTGCAATTTCTAGATTGAGGAAACCACAGCAGAGACCAGAAGACATGCTTTTTAGCACATCTGCAGCCCTGCTGGCTGTTCAGTTTTAGGTCGACCTGCGGTGATGGCCACTGACAGGAAGTGAGCTCATTCAGAGCCTAAACCCGATCTGATCACTGGGTTAGTCTGTTAAAGATAAGCTTCGGTGTCTGTCGCTGCGGAAATGTTCAGTCAGGAAGCAACAGCAACACTAGACTTGGACAACTTTTATTGTCATTTTGTATAAAACGAGATTTCATTTTGTACAGCTTTGACAGTAAATGAGCTGGAGCTTCGCAGTGAAACAAACATTTTTATTTCAAAAAGTGTAGCAGTGATCACATGTAAACAGTGTGGGAGAGAAACATGGAGATAAATGCAACAATATGGAAGTTCAGAGCATTTCAAGATGTTTATTTTTGGTGCAAATATGCAGAGTTTTGGTTTGGTGTTATGAGTGTGATGCAGAGTCTGTGACTTGATTTATAGTTTTTTTTCAACAGTTCAGCAGTCTGATGGCAGTGGGGAAGAAGCTGTTGCCGAATGTGCTGGCCCTGCATCGAAAGCTGCGAAGCCTCTGCTTCTGTAGAAGGTGGGGAGGATGGGTGGGGGCAGGTGGGCTCTCCTTGTCCTCTGCAGGAAGTACATGAGCTTCTGCGCCCTTTTGACCTGTGTGGTGGTGTTTAGATTCCAGGTGAGGGTGTCTGTGATGTGCACCCCCAAAGATTTGGTGCTGTTCACCACCTATACAGCTGAGCTGTTGATGACCAGTGCAGCGTGGTCAGGCCGGTTCAACAATGATCTCCTTGGTCTTCTCCATGTTCAGGATCAGGCTGTTATCTTTGCACCAGCCCACCAGCTGCTCCACCTCCTCTCTGTAGTCCAGGTCGTTGTCGTCACTGATGAGGCCCACCACCGTGGTGTCGTCTGCAAATTTCACCCTGTGATTGGTGGTGCACCTGGGGACGCAGTCTTGTGTTTGGACTGACTGAGGTCTGTTGATGAGGAAATCTAGCAGCCAGTTTTGGAGGGGTGTATTGAAGCCTAGGTGTTCCAGTTTTCCTATCAGATGCTGTGTGATGATGGTGATGAAAGCTGAAGTCCAGTAACAGCATCCGCACGTGGGTGTTCTTCTCTTCCGGTTGTACCAGGCTAAGGTGGAGAGCAGCAGAGATGGCGGTTTGGTTGGTAGGCGAACTGGAACGGGTTGAATGTTGGCAGCAGATTGGAGACGATGTGTTCTTTGATCAGCCTGTCGAAGCGCTTCATCACGATGGGAGTCAGTGCGACAGGCCAGTGGTCATTCAGTGAGGTGACTTGAGGCTTTTTCAGCTGACCTGCACACTCCTTTTACACCAGCCCAGGTATCTTATCGGGGCCTTCCTTGGGTTGACTCTCCTCAGAGTTTTCCACACATCAGCTGAGTCCAGGTTGAGTGCCTCCTCTCCCCGATGTGGACCATGCTGAGGTTCTTTCCCCCGGTGTTACAGGGAGTTCTGCAGCTGCGTCATCCTCTGATCTGCAGATTAAACCAAGCCCACGGCTCAGGTTCAGAGTAACAACACTACAGTTCAGCAGCAATAAAATCGGCAATAAAATCAGATCGTTTCAACGTTAAAAAGGCAGTTAAAACAGACATGCAGCCGAGAGCATCCGGGCTCCTGTGCTCCAACCAGAGCTCTGCAGAAAGCTGCTGAGATGAGATGAGTTTAGATCTGAAGTTCAGATTTGACTGGCCTGACTTTGCTTTTCTCTGTCACTGATTTCCTGTTTTTTTCGTCTCTCATGAGAAACAGAAGCATGGAGGATGTTAAATATCATCATCTGTTCTGCAAAAGAAGGGAAACCCAAAGTAAAGTAAAATAATCAACTTAACAACTTTGTTGACCATAAAACATGAAGTTAATAAACACTGAAGAGCCAGAAGTTCAACAACAAAAGCCTGTTTATTCAGTTAGAGGAGGAAGAACGTGATGGCTTCATTCCCTCATCCATAACTAAAGCAATCAAGAGATCAGAGAAATGAATTACTAATAAGAAGGGAAGAAGGGCTGAAGGGAGGAAAAAAAGCAACAGGTTTTAGAAGCAAAGGGTTGGAAAGTCAAGAAGGAAGGAAATGAGGAAATGGAAGAAATTTGCTACACAGGAGAACAATAAAGGGAAAAGAAAGGAAGAAAAAGGGGCAGGACACAAGTGAAGGAAGCAAGGGTTCAAGAAAATAACAGGAAGAAAGAGAGAAGAAAAACTGGGAATGAAAGGACAGAAGGGAAGGTGGAAAGGGAGGAAGAACAGGAGGATGAAAGGGAAGGTAGGTTCAGGATGGAAAGGAGTAGGAAGCAGAAAAAGAACAAAATAAAATGGCAGCTGATGGCAAGCTTCGTCATCTCAAGCTTCTGGTTCTAGTGAAGGTTCTCAGTCATCCAGGATGTGGAACGTTTCACATGGAGAAAAGAACAAACCATCTTGACCTGGATGGTTGCAGCTGAGGACGTTTGGCTTTCCTCCTGTTGGCCACTTATATCATCATAAATAATTAATCAGAAGTCAGAACTTCTGGTTCCTTGGTCTTCATCAAAGTCTCATCATTGGAACTTGATTATAGTTAAATATCCAGCAGAAACAGCTGGATCCATTAGCAGATGTCCTGACTGCAGCTGCGAGGTTAATCTTTGAGCCAGAATTTAAGTACATTCAATTAAGTTCAGTTCCATTTATTTTTATAAAGCCATTTCCAAACACTAGTCGTCTCAGGTCACTTTACAGAGACAATTTTTCTATCTAAGGAAAACCAGCTGATTGCATCGACTCATTGACACTTCAGCAATCCCTCACACCAAGAGAAGAATCTCATTGATGTTGCTGGGATCAATCCATCCGAATGTCTGGGCCTGTTGATGTCTGTACCTCTTGATGTCTGTACCTCTTGATGTCTGTACCTCTTGATGTCTGTACCTCTTGATGTCTGGATCTCTTGGTGTCTGGACCTCCTGATGTCTGGACCTCTTGATGTCTGGACCTCTTTATGTCTGGACCTCCTGATGTCTGAACCTCTTGATGTCTGGACCTCCTGATGTCTGGACCTCTTTATGTCTGGACCTCCTGATGTCTGGACCTCTTGATGTCTGGACCTCCTGATGTCTGGACCTCTTTATGTCTGGACCTCCTGATGTCTGGACCTCTTGATGTCTGGACCTCCTGATGTCTGGACCTCCTGATGTCTGGACCTCTTGATCTCTGGACCTCCTGATGTCTGGACTTCCTGATGTCTGGACCTCTTTATGTCTGGACCTCTTGATGTCTGGACCTCTTTATACCTGGACCTCTTTATGTCTGGACCTCCTGATGTCTGGACCTCTTGATGTCTGGACCTCCTGATGTCTGGACCTCTTGGTGTCTGGACCTCTTGATGTCTTGACCTCCTGATGTCTGGACCTCTTGATGTCTGGACCTCTTGATGTCTGGACCTCCTGATGTCTGGACCTCCTGATGTCTGGACCTCTTTATGTCTGGACCTCTTGATGTCAGGACCTCTTGATGTCTGGACCTCTTGATGTCTGGACCTCTTTATGTCTGGACCTCCTGATGTCTGGACCTCTTGATGTCTGGACCTCCTGATGTCTGGACCTCTTGATGTCTGGACCTCTTGATGTCTGGACCTCTTGATGTCTGGACCTCTTGATGTCTGGACCTCCTGATGTCTGGACCTCTTGGTGTCTGGACCTCTTGATGTCTTGACCTCCTGATGTCTGGATCTCTTGATGTCTGGACCTCTTGATGTCTGGAACTCTTGATGTCTGGACCTCCTGATGTCTGGACCTCTTGGTGTCTGGACCTCTTAGTGTCAGGATCTTTTGATGTCTGGTTCTTTTGATGTCTGGATCTCTTGATGTCTGTATCTCTTGATATCTGGACCTCCTGATGTCTTTGTCTTAAACCTTCTACTTTTCTGATACTGCATTTCCTCAGAAGTTCTCAAATCTTTGGGTAACATCTGGCCCAGCATTGCCCTCCGCCATGGTTTCTACAGATCAGTTGAGGCATCTCTTTGGACCATGTGCTTCTCCATTAGCTTATATCTCCATGCAGACGCTGCAGATGTTGACTGTTTTTGTTCTGTCCACAGATGATCGTTTTCGCTGGATGTTAGAGTCTTCTGGGAGTGAGATGATCATTCAGACTTAGGAAGGAGGTTCTGCTCAGCTGATCCATGTTCGTGCTCACAGATAACTAGCTCTATAGAGGCTAGCTTCTGAGTTCCTACATAGAGACGGACGAAACTCCAACATGGACCATCTGGTCGGTTGTGATCAGCCGCCAGGGGCCTCGTGTCTCTGCATAGAGCCAGTGTATCAATGCCCCTCTTCCGCCCAGCAGACCTTGTTACTACCAGACCCCCTGGACCAGACCAAAGCCAGCGCCTCAGGCCCAGAGGAGCGACCCAACGAGGACAGCGAGGCCACAGAGTCTGCAGACAGCGAGAACGACATGAACCCCCCGTCTCTAAAATGGGAGCTGAGGAGGTCGTCTTCGTCATCTGCTCACAGCGGTGAGGAAGACGACGCTGAGACGATGGAGAGAAGGCTGTTCATGAAGGCCTATGTGGAGAAGGTGTTTCATGGAAGGTAAGAACTACTATTCAAGTTTCTCACAATCATGTTAGAGGATTCAGTCCAACCAACCAGCTGGATGTTGTATCAGAGGAGGGAAGCAGGACTCTTTCTAATGTCTAAATCCAGATGTTTCCTGAAGCTGTATGAAAGAAAACAATCTCTATATCACGTATGATATTATTAGACTTGCCTTGTTTTAGAACCCCAAGAGGAGGAGGAATGATGGAAAGGGTTAAAAACAATCCACAAACCTCTAAAGGTCACCTCTGACTTCATTCTTTAAAGACATGATGGTTTCTATCTTCCATTTTGATTGTCGCTGAAGCAACCACATCCAGTCCCTGATTGGTCAAAACCACATCAACTGGCTTAAAAGAGCTGACCTTTAAATCAGTAATTATACAGGTAAAAGCCAGTAAATTAGAATATTTTGAAAAACTTTATTTTAGTAATTGCATTCAAAAGGTGTAAATTCTACATTATATTTATTCATTGCACATTCAAATGTTTATTTCATTTAATTTTGATGATTTGAAGTGGCAACAAATGAAAATCCAAAATTCCGTTTGTCACAAAATTAGAATATTGTGTAAGGGTTACATTTTGAAGACACCTGGTGCCACAAACTAATCAGCTGATTAACTCAAAACTCCTGCAAAGGGCTTTAAATGGTCTCTCAGTCCAGTTCTGAAGCCTACACAAACATGGGGAAGACCATCGACACATTGCACAAGGAGGGAAAGACACAAAAGGTTATTGCTGAAGAGGCTGGCTGTTCTCAGAGCTCTGTGTCCAAACACATTAATAGAGCGGCAAAGGGAAGGAAAAACTGTGGTCAGAAAAAGTGTACAAGCAATAGGGATCACCGCGCCCTAGTCAAGATTGTGGAAAAAAAAACCATTCAAAAATGTGGGGGAGATTCACAAGAGTGGACAGCTGGTGGAGTCAGTGCTTCAAGATCCACCACCAAGAGACGCTTGAAAGACATGGGTTTCAACTGCTGCATACCTCGTGTCAAGCCACTGTTGACCAAGAAACAGTGGTAAAAGCGTCTCACCTGGGCTAAGGAAAAAAAGAGCTGGACTGCTGCTGAGTGGTCCAAAGTCATGTTTTCTGACCAAAGCAAATTTTGCATTTCCTTTGGAAATCGAGGTCCCAGAGTCTGGAGGAAGACAGGAGAGGAACAGGATCCACGTTGCCTGAAGTCTAGTCTAAAGTTTCCACCATCAGTGATGGTTTGGGGTGCCATGTCATCTGCTGGTGTCGGTCCACTCTGTTTCCTGAGATCCAGGGTCAACGCAGCCGTCTACCAGCAAGTTTTAGAGCACTTCATGCTTCCTGCTGCTGACCTGCTCTATGGAGATGGAGATTTCAGGTTCCAACAGGACTTGGCGCCTGCACACAGCGCCAAATCCACCCGTGCCTGGTTTACGGACCATGGTATTTCTGTTCTAAATTGGCCAGCCAACTCCCCTGACCTTAGCCCCATAGAAAATCTGTGGGGTATTGTGAAAAGGAAGATGCAGAATGCCAGACCCAAAAACGCAGAAGAGTTGAAGGCCACTATCAGAGCAACCTGGGCTATCATAGCACCTGAGCAGTGCCAGAAACTCATCGACTCCATGCCATCCATCCATCCATCCATCCATCTTCCTCCGCTTATCCGGGGTCGGGTCGCGGGGGCAGCAGCTTAAGAAGGGAGGCCCAGACTTCCCTCTCCCCAGCACCTTCTTCCAGCTCTTCAGGAGGAACCCCAAGGCGTTCCCAGGCCAGCCGAGAAACATAGTCTCTCCAGCGTGTCCTGGGTCTTCCCCGGGGCCTCCCCCCGGTGGGACGTGCCCGGAACACCTCACCAGGGAGGCGTCCAGGAGGCATCCTAAACAGATGCCCAAGCCACCTCAACTGGCTCCTCTCGACGTGGAGGAGCAGCGGCTCTACTCCGAGTCCCTCCCGGATGACCGAGCTTCTCACCCTATTTCTAAGGGAGAGCCCAGCCACACTACGGAGGAAACCCATTTCGGCCGCTTGTATCCGCGATCTTGTTCTTTCGGTCATGACCCAGAGTTCATGACCATAGATGAGGGTAGGAACGTAGATCGACCGGTAAATCGAGAGCTTCGCTTTTTGACTCAGCTCTCTCTTCACCACGACGGACCGGCACAGCGCCCGCTTCACGGCAGACGCTGCACCAATCCGCCTGTCGACCTCCCGCTCCCTTCTTCCCTCATTCGTGAACGAGATCCCAAGATACTTAAACTCCTCCACTTGGGGCAGGACAGCCCCCCTGACCCGGAGAAGGCACTCTACCCTTTTCCGGCTCAAGACCATGGCCTCGGATTTGGAGGCACTGATCCCCATCCCGGCCGCTTCACACTCGGCTGCGAACCGATCCAGCGAGAGCTGCAGATCACGACCTGATGAAGCCAACAGGACCACATCATCTGCAAAAAGCAGAGACGCAATCCTAAGGCCACCAAAACGGATCCCCTCAACACCTTGGCTGCGCCTAGAAATTCTGTCCATGAAGGTAATGAACAGAATCGGTGACAAAGGGCAGCCCTGGCGGAGTCCAACTCTCACTGGAAACGAGCCCGACTTACTGCCGGCAATGCGAACCAGACTCTGACACCGGTCATACAGGGACCTGACAGCCCGTATCAAAGGGCCCGGCACCCCGTACTCCCGGAGAACCCCCCACAGGGCCCCCCGAGGGACACGGTCGAGCGCCTTCTCCAAGTCCACAAAGCACATGTAGACTGGTTGGGCGAACTCCCATGCACCCTCCAGGACCCTGCTGAGGGTGTAGAGCTGGTCCAGCGTTCCACGACCAGGACGGAAACCACACTGCTCTTCCTGAATCCGAGGTTCAACTATCCGACGGACCCTCCTCTCCAGCACCCCCGAATAGACCTTGCCAGGGAGGCTTAAGAGTGTGACTCCCCTGTAATTGGAGCACACCCTCCGGTCCCCCTTTTTGAATAGGGGGACCACCACCCCAGTCTGCCAATCCAGGGGAACTGCCCCCGATGTCCATGCAATGTTGAAGAGTCGTGTCAGCCAACACAACCCTACAACATCCAGGACCTTCAGGAACTCCGGGCGGATCTCATCCACCCCCGGGGCCCTGCCACCGAGGAGCTTTTTAACCACCTCGGTGACCTCGCCCACAGAGATTGGAGAGCCCAGTCCAGAGTCCCCAGGCCCAGCTTCCTCAATGGAAGACATGTTGGTGGGATTGAGGAGGTCTTCGAAGTATTCCGCCCACCGACCCACAATGTCCCGAGTCGAGGTCAGCAGCACACCATCCCCACTATAAACAGTGTTGGTGCTGCACCGCTTTCCCCTCCTGAGACGCCGGATGGCGGACCAGAATCGCTTCGGAGCCGTGCGGAAGTCTTTCTCCATGGCCTCTCCAAACTCCTCCCACACCTGAGTTTTTGCCTCAGCAACCATCCGAGCCGCATGCCGCTTCGCCCGCCGGTACCCATCAGCTGATTCCGGAGTCCCACAGGCCAAAAAGGCCCGATAGGCCTCCTTCTTCAACCTGACAGCATCCCTCACCGGAGGTGTCCACCAACGGGTTCGAGGGTTGCCGCCACGACAGGCACCGACAACCTTGCGGCCGCAGCTCAGATGAGCCGCCTCGACAATGGAGGAACGGAACATGGTCCACTCGGACTCAATGTCCCCCACCTCCCCCGGGATGTGTTCGAAGTTCTGCCGGAGATGGGAGTTAAAGCTCCGCCTAACAGGGGACTCCGCCAGACGTTCCCAGCAGACCCTCACAACACGTTTGGGCCTGCCAGGTCTGACCGGCATCCTCCCCCACCACCGGAGCCAACTCACCACCAGGTAGTGGTCAGTGGAAAGCTCAGCACCTCTCTTCACCCGAGTGTCCAAGACATACGGCCGCAAGTCCGATGAAACGATGACAAAGTCGATCATCGAACTGCGGCCTAGGGTGTCCTGGTGCCATGTGCACATATGGACACCCTTATGCTTGAACATGGTGTTCGTTATGGACAATCCATGACGAGCACAGAAGTCCAACAACAGAACACCACTCGAGTTCAGATCAGGGCAGCCATTCCTCCCAACCACGCCCCTCCAGGTCTCACTGTCGTTGCCCACGTGAGCGTTGAAGTCTCCCAGCAGAACAAGGGAGTCCCCAGGAGGGGCACCCTCCAGTACCCCCTCTAAGGACTCCAAGAAGGGTGGGTAATCCGAACTGTTGTTCGGCCCGTAAGCACAGACAACAGTCAGAACCCGTCCCCCCACCCGTAGGCGGAGGGAGGCTACCCTCTCGTTCACCGGGGTAAACCCCAACGTACAGGCGCCGAGATGGGGGGCAACAAGTATGCCCACTCCTGCCCGGCGCCTCAAACCGTGGGCAACTCCAGAGTGGAAGTATGTCCAGCCCCTCTCAAGGAGACTGGTTCCAGAACCAGAACCATGCGTTGAGGTGAGACTGACTATTTCTAGCCGGAACCTCTCAGCCTCACACACTAGCTCCGGTTCCTTCCCCACCAGCGAGGTGACATTCCACGTCCCAAGAGCCAGCCCCACCCAACACACATTGCACCCGACCCCTATGGCCCCTCTCACGGGTGGTGGGCCCATGTAAGGGGGGACCCATGTTTCCTCTTCGGGCTGAGCCCGGCCGGGCCCCATGGTTAAAAGCCCGGCCACCAGGCGCTCGCCATCGTGCCCCCCCTCCAGGCCTGGCTCCAGAGTGGGGCCCCGGTGACCCGCGTCCGGGCGAGGGAACGCTGGATCCAAATATTGTACTCATCATAAGGGTCTTTGGGCTGCGCTTTGTCTGGTTCCTCACCTAGGACCTGTCTGCCTTGGGTGACCCTACCAGGGGCATAAAGCCCCAGACAGCATAGCTCCCAGGATCATTGGGACACTCAAACCTCTCCACCACGATAAGGTGGCAGCCCAAGGAGACTCAATGCCACGCCGCATTAATGCAGTAATTGAGGCAAAAGGAGCTCCAACCAAGTATTGAGCATTGTACATGCTCATATTTTTCATTTTCATACTTTTCAGTTGGCCAACTTTTCTAAAAAAATCCCTTTTTTGTATTAGCCTTAAGTAATATTCTAATTTTGTGACACACAGAATTTTGGATTTTCATTTGTTGCCACTTCAAATCATCAAAATTAAATGAAATAAACATTTGAATGCATCAGTCTGTGTGCAATGAATAAATATAATGTACAAGTTACACCTTTTGAATGCAATTACTGAAATAAATAAAGTTTTTCAAAATATTCTAATTTACTGGCTTTTAACTGTATATTGCCATAGACACCTGATGAATATCAAAATATAATAATAAAGTTTTTCAGTCATTCTGAACTCCGAGGACCTTCTGGTATTCTGGGGGAAGATGTCGGTAGAGGAACATTTAGCTTCTCTAGCTCTCAGAAGCTAAATGATCCTTATTTCAAAAAGTATAAATCAGTATGAACTCTAGGGGTAAATGGTGGTACAGTTTTCAGCCGTATCGCCCAGCTCTAATGTAGCATGTTAGATATTTACACACTAATTCTGATCAGTTAAAATTAATTAAATACTGTGAAATTTCAAATTTTTTATCATCCTTATATAAGATTTCTGCAATCTAACTTGGGGACATTTCCAGCTCATAGGTAGGAATAAATACATTTTATAAAAATTAAAATACTTAATGGGGACAGTGATGTTTTCATCCATTTTAACATATTTAACAAAAATCAAGTGTGACATCCAGGAATGCGCCTCCTCCATCTCCTAAGATAAATAACATTAATCAATCAGTAGCATTTATTGGTGGCATCTGGTCATTCAGTCTTCTCTGTCTTCTTCTCTTGTGAGCAATATAATATGGTGTTCAGGGACAGGCCACTTTGCATCAATAGTCTGTGGGAATTTCCCTTTTTTTCCATTCCAAAAAATTCAAAGGAAACTTTTTTCATATATATGCAAATTAAAAAACATATTTTTTTACATACTGATAACTAAAAAATTAAATAGCCTCCAGTTGTTTCTACTATATTCTATATATTTGGAGTGCATTTGGGTCGCCTTCAGCAACCTGGATTAAAATCTGTGTCACTATTAAAAAAGTTAGGTTAGATTTTTATATTCAGATAAAATTAGAATTATTAAAACACATCTATAAAACTGGATCATCATCATGAGCAGCTTTTGTCATTACACATTATATAGATGAATAAAAAATAAGCAGACTGTGCTGAACGTCTTCTGCTTCAGGCTCATTCCTTGGCCTGATGTCATCTTCTAGAATAATCATGAACATTAAGACTCATAGAAAAAAAAAAAAAAAGCAAAAGTTTCCCTGCGATGTGACAGAAAGCAGCTGAGCTGAGTTTTTTTGGATTCTGTTTTTGTAGGGAGGACTTTGACCAGGAGGAGAAGGCCATGTTTGGAGAGCTGTGCAGTGGAGAGAACGGAAAAGGCCGGGAATGGTTTGCCAAATATGTCAGCGCCCAGGTGAGCACGTCGGGACTCAGCTGACCTCTGACCAATGAGAAACACTTAAAGGAATAGTACACCCAAAACATGATTAGCCTTCATTTTCTACTCACCCCCATGCTGAACAACACTCTGGAGTACTTTTTTGATATCTCAAATGCATCTGGAGATCTGGGAGGCTTCTTGCTGTCTGCTGACATGCAAATAATGGAGGTCTATGGTGCCCGAGGCAGAAAGGTCCATAAAAGTCCACAAAAAACGTGTCAATATTCCTCCATACTGCTCGTCCAATGTATTCCAAGTGTCCTGAGTGGGTAGCGTCCATAATTTACTCGAAACGAAGTCATTTAGGCTGCGTCTCAATTCGCAGGCTGCGTACTTCCGAGGACGCACCCTACCTAGCCTCCGGAGGACCCAGACTTGGTAGGCTGCTCCGGAGGATCATCAGCCGTTGGTAAATGGGACGGTCTAGCCTTTGGAGCACTTCCTGGTTGCGACACGACGTCATCACGTTTACCCCAAACACAGCGCGAAACAAAATCCGACAGCTCGAGAAATACGGAAAGAAACAACAAAAAAATAGATATGGAAATTTTTATTTTTTTTTATTTACTTGTTATTGGAGGAGGAGAGTCGCTTTGATGGCTTCGGCGGCAGCAAAACCGGCGACGGATTTTTCTCAGGCTGGCAGAGCGCAGTGGAGAGGTAAGATCTACCTGCAATTATTCTAACCCACAGGGGCCTGCTAATGATCAGAATATACCAGCTATTAAATAAACGCTTGTCAGCAGATTGATGAATAGGTTTAAATATGAAGTTTTATATTTATTTGTAAGTTTGTGATTTATTTGTTTCTAACTTTAGTAATTTGAATTGAATAGTTAAATGTGTACAAACCCTGTAAATAACTGACTTAAATAACTACTTTCACCATTACTAATGTAGTGTTGAGAAGCCAAACTGTTGAGAAATAAATAATTTTTGTCTAAATTGTTATCCCCTTACTGCCTGATTTTATTTGCAATTTTATATATATATATATATATATATATATATATATTTATATATATATATAAACATATATAAACGTAATACAGAAAAAAAAATCAAAATATAAAAACGAAAAAAATAAGTTAAATAGTGGATCTAGATGAAGTAAAATTTAATTTCTAATAAATCATGTAATAAAGATAAGGAAAAAAAGATAGATGACTGGATAAAAATAAATATTTTTGTCTTTTTTTTCCCTACAGGTCATAACGGCATGTGCTGTCCTGCACATCTGCCTGGGAGTGACATCACGGCCCCAGAGGATGAAGAGCAGGACGACATGCCAGAGGATGAGGAGGGGAGAAGGTGTAGGAGGCAGTCAGTGGTGCTCACTGGAGGGACCAGCTGTCTGCTGAGGTGTCTGCTCTGGAGGAGGGTCTACCCGACCACCGTTACATTTAGATGGCAAGTAGAATCACATTTTAGCTGTTCTCATTTCAGGGTTATAAAAACAGTTTTAGTAAAGTCATTATTTTCTGCGTCTTCTTGAGCATTTTTAGTAACATGGCAGCCCTCGATTGGATCAGCAGTGGAGAGAGGCAACCCCCACCCCCCAGATGATGTCCCACTCGCAGTCAGAAGACTCCAAGCTCATCTGTGTGGCATCCCATCCAGTCCAGCAGCACCAACAGGGATTCCTGCTCAGTCACAATTATATATATATATGTTCTCTAGTAATATTTTTTTTCTATCTTCTGTAAATAGTTGTAGTAGTTAATTTTAAAATCTAATGTCAATAGTTAAAAATGTTTTTAATAGTTTATTGTAAATACTTGCTTCTCTAAAAATAAACTGATGTCACTGAGAAGTTGTTCTAAGTTTACTTAAATTATAAAGAAGTGATGAAACAGAAAATGTAAAAAGGTTAAAAGACTTTAAGAACACACCGACAGCAATAACTTTTATAAACAATTTAATAATTTAATTTAATAACAGAAACACAGAACTTCAACTTGTTAAAAAAAAACACCAAAAAAATAATAACATCTGTCCACCATCCTCTCCAATAAATGAAATAATCTGTCCATCCTTTCCCGCCTCCCTCTGCCGTCTCATATCCTCCCTGATTAAATCCACCAACTCGTCACTCCTTCTTCTCTTCCTCCTTTCCCTCCTCCCTCATCCTCATTCTCTTCCTCATCATCACCCTGATGCTGCTCAGCCTCTGCAGCACCTGGCCCTGCTGTGTCCTCAGGGATGGAGGCAATTAGGACAGGTGGGGTAACAGAGGGCCTCCGTCCTAATACCTCATCCATGAGGACAAACCAGGGCCGGGTGGCAGCAGTAGGATTCCCACTGACCCCCTGCCCTATCCAAGGATCTTTGCATTCCTAAAGTAGAGGAAAACTATTTGTATCAACAGATGCTGTTTTCTGTAGTGTTTCTTTAAAGCTAGAAAAAAGGAAGGTTTCATGATTTGGATGGATTGATGAAATTCTACAGAAAAAGACTTTGGAATGGTAACCTGGAGATTACTTTTTTAAGCTTACTCAAAGTGTAAATTAACATGAATATAATAAATGAAAGATGTAATTTCCCTACACATACATATACATACATATATACATATATATATATATATATATATATATATACACTCACCGGCCACTTTATTAGGTACCCCATGCTAGTAACGGGTTGGACCCCCTTTTGCCTTCAGAACTGCCTCAATTCTTCGTGGCATAGATTCAACAAGGTGCTGGAAGCATTCCTCAGGGAGTTTGGTCCATATTGACATGATGGCATCACACAGTTGCCGCAGATTTGTCGGCTGCACATCCATGATGCGAATCTCCCGTTCCACCACATCCCAAAGATGCTCTATTGGATTGAGATCTGGTGACTGTGGAGGCCATTTGAGTACAGTGAACTCATTGTCATGTTCAAGAAACCAGTCTGAGTGGATTCCAGCTTTATGACATGGCGCATTATCCTGTTGAAAGTAGCCATCAGAAGTTGGGTACATTGTGGTCATAAATGGATGGACATGGTAAGCAACAATACTCAGGTAGGCTGTGGCGTTGCAACGATGCCCAATTGGTACCAAGGGGCCCAAAGAGTGCCAAGAAAATATGACACCACCACCACCAGCCTGAACCGTTGATACAAGGCAGGATGGATCCATGCTTTCATGTTGTAGATGCCAAATTCTGACCCTACCATCCGAATGTCGCAGCAGAAATCGAGACTCATCAGACCAGGCAACGTTTTTCCAATCTTTTATTGTCCAATTTCGATGAGCTTGTCCAAATTATAGCCTCAGTTTCCTGTTCTTAGCTGAAAGGAGTGGCACCCGGTGTGGTCTTCTGCTGCTGTAGCCCATCTGCCTCAAAGTTCAACGTACTGTGCGTTCAGAGATGCTCTTCTGCCCACCTTGGTTGTAACGGGTGGTTATTTGAGTCACTGTTACCCTTCTATCACCTCGAACCAGTCTGGCCATTCTCCTCTGACCTCTGGCATCAACAAGGCATTTCCGCCCTCAGAACTGCGGCTTACTGGATGTTTTTTCTTTTTCGGACCATTCTCTGTAAACCCTAGAGATGGTTGTGCGTGAAAATCCCAGTAGATCAGCAGTTTCTGAAATACTCAGACCAGCCCTTCTGGCACCAACAATCATGCCATGTTCAGAGTCACTCAAATCACCTTTCTTCCCCATACTGATGCTCGGTTTGAACTGCAGGAGATTGTCTTGACCATGTCTACATGCCTAAATGCACTGAGTTGCCGCCATGTGATTGGCTGCTTAGAAATTAAGTGTTAACGAGCAGTTGGACAGGTGTACCTAATAAAGTGGCCGGTGAGTGTATATATATATATATATATATATAGGTGTGTGTGTGTGTGTTTCATTACATTATCCAAACCTGAACATACTTTGTATTTTTTTTTTAGTTGTCCCACACAAGGATCACTTCTATGACAAATATGAGATTTACAAAAAGTGTCATCTGAGCATCATTTGATGTGATCAAAAGATTATATTTGTACGTTGGTGTTTGAACAGGACTTCTTTTAACTTGTGTGACTTTTACATAGAAATGCAACATGTAGATGGAATTCTGCCTCAACTCTTCCCTCCATCCGCCTGCAGCAGTATTTTTGGCCCCGATGATAAGGTGGTCATTTTATCCACTCCTCTGTCTGCTCCCTGGAACAAAATCACATGTAAAGCATATTTCTGTTATGTCAACAGGCAAAATGACTGTTCTGTATAATTATGCCGGTATTGTTCTTCAAGTGAATTATACTTTAAACCGTATTATACTGTACTGTAAATAAACTACACGTTATTGAGTATTAAAACAAAACGTTTGCAGTATTGACAGCTCAGTACAGCTGGACTAATGCTATTTCTTCAGCTGCATTAAGCTTTAAAAGTTCTAATATTTTGAAATAAACAGTTTGAGAATAAATAGATCTGATTAGTGAGGGATACGGCTATCAGTACAGTAAGATGTAGGTTAAAATAAAAAATAGTGACATTTGTATGAAGGCTTTTAATTGTTGATGAACATCACGTATCAACAGGTTAGCTCTAAGCTTTAGCTTTAGCTGCTCCTACACATTCCGGTGGCTCCGTTACCGTCATGTATTTTAATAGATGTTCAGTAAAATAAAACAAAACAAACTACTTACATTTAAAGGTGTTCTCCGCACTACTGTCGGCGCTGCTGCTGCTTTCGGTTGTCCGTCACTTGAAGAAAATCCGACTTTCTTCTTCTTCTTCTTCAACTACTAAAAAAAAAAAAAAAAAAAAAAAAGAAGCGCGCAAAGCACCTCGGGAAATCTAGTGGGAGGCGAGGCCACTAAGGACGGTAGCGATGCATCCTCAGAATTCGGGGAAAAGGAGGACGCATTTTAAGGCTGCATTTTAAGCGTCCTCAGAATTTTTGCCAAATGGGACGGCCTCCGCGCAGCGTTGTGACGTCACCGGCCTCAAAATGCGTACTACCAAGTACGCAGCCTGCGAATTGAGACGCAGCCTTAGAATGTTTTTAGAGCATAAACAGTAGTGTATATGATTTCCTAAAAGCGCGTTCACAAGTCTACGGAAACCGCGGCAGACCAAACCAGATGAAAGTGCGCATTCAGCTCGGCAAAGAACTCATGCTCTTCCTCAACACTGAAGTCTTCAGACATTTTTCTTTCGATGTTTCTTTCTTTGCACACGGAAACAGCACATTTCTTCTTCTACGCTTGCATTATTGGCAGAGCAGACGCTGAATGTGCACTTTCATCTGGTTTGGTCTGCCGGCTCTTTATCCAAATGATAAACAGTATGCAATCAAATATTTGGTTTGAATATAATTTAGGGATTCTTTTTGGTAGAAATTAAAGAATATTTAGTATCACAGAGGAGTTTTTTAACTTGGCAGACGATAATCACCCACATATAGTTTATTAAGTAGCAAGAGCAGTCGGAGCCATGCTGCTGAGAGCGAACCATTAGAGTGGAGCGTGAAGCACAGACTCTGAGCTATGTGCGTGCAAAGACGCATTTCTGCACAAGCACAGCTGGAAGATCAGAGTTGGTCAAAGTTGAGTGCGCAGTAGCGGACCATTCTGGATTATTTTCACCCCTGCCGCTGCTGCCATGATCCATCTGTGGTCATGCAGAATGAGAAGTGCTGTACGCCAGGTGGGCTCCGTGTTCAAACAGGATGCAGCAGCTTGGCTGATACTGCCTAGAAGATTGCAGCACAATGATGCCTTTTACATTTCTGAGCGACCATGCGCTGATTTTTTTTAGTATCGTCTCATTGACTAAAACTAGGGGTGGAACAGTTCACAAAATCCACGGTTCGGTTCGGTTCACGTATTCGTGGTCACGGGTTTTTTTGGTATATGTTGATTGTTACCCCGAAATCCCATAAAAATTAATGAAAAAAACCCCAAAAATTAATGAATTGTAATTATTTTTAATGATCCGCGGAAACCATGGTTCATTTCCGAATGTTTTGCTGCTTTGAATTTAATCATCTCGCACATGCTCTCTACCATCTCCAAGTGACTCAGAGGGGAGCGGACGGGAGCCACAGTGGAGGCTTGAGCGCAGCGGGGCGGAGTGGAGCGCTGACGGAGTATGAGGGATTTCGGGGTTAGCATGACATGTTGGTCATGTTGCTGTTAGCATAAACAAAACGTGTTGCACAATGCTTACACACTGTTGCACTTTTATACACAGCTGTCTTTCCGCCGTCATCGTGGGTCAATCTAAATGCAAAGTGGTCTCACCATACCGACACAATTCTCCACAACAGATTTTTTTCTGCTACACCCGGCTAAGCTGCTTCGCTTCTTCTTCTTCTTGTTTACTACTGGTGGTTGGCTTTGGTCGCAGTACCGCCACCTTCTGCTCTGGAGTGTACACACTTCGCCTATGAGAAAAAGGAGCAGCGAATGAACCGAACACAACACACGCGAACCGAACCGAGACAGTCAAACCGAACGGTTCGGAAGGTTTTCATAAACCGTTCCATCCCTAACTAAAACCCACACCCATAACTCTCAAGTTTTCTTCAACAAAGATCTGCCTTTAGCTCATCAGTTCTCGTTATCGTCATGAAAAAAACGTGCGTCAACGAAATAATTTTGTTATCTTCATCATTGAGAAAACCAAAACTGATCTGAAAAAGGTCAAATACTGACGCGTGTTCCTAAAGTAAACTCATTTTAGTAATGAGGTTTCTGTATACATCTGCAGCACGTAGGAGAAACGACATGAAGCGGGAATAAGATGTTTATATCTTGTTTAAAAATGTAAAGGTGAGTAAGGTGGATTTAATGGGTCTCTGTGTCTCACAGCGCTGCCACTCCAAATGTGTGAGCGAGGCCACGTTCTACAGGCTGGTCCAGTCCTTCGCTCTTGTTCTGTTTGAGTGAGTATCTGCAGTGCTTGCTTTCTCTGCTTTTGGTTCTAATTTTAAAATAGAATGTTTAAAATCAACAGCCACCGAAGAACAAGGCTTTGAAACCAGATAATCCTCAGAAGCACCTAATGGAAAAGTTATTGGTAGTACTGAAAACGTAATTCTAATCTGAATGAATTTGATTTAATAAGCAGTCTGATTGACGTGGAGGAAGGTTGCAGACAGATTAGGCAACAGGAATGTTTTTTGTTGCAGCTGGAGGATATTTTCCATCATCCAGATATTGTTTTCTTCTGCTGATGCTCCAGTGGTCAGATGATCTAGAAGTGCTTCTAAAGCTCATCACTAAACTCCTCAAAACCATCTTATAGATCCACAGAGACCCAGATATGAAGCATCTCATCATTTAGGTTGAAAACATTAAACTGGAGTTCAGTAGGAGAAGTTCAGGCATCAACCAGTTATTCCTTCAGGAAACAGGTGGTTTAATAGAAACGACTAGAAAGAGGAGAGCTGGTTGAGATGTTCTGGCTGTTACAGGTCTTTAGGTTCAGTCTTTTCACAGGCTGGTTTCTGCACTTCATTATTTATATGCAGTGAAATGTTGTAGACTATCACCCCCATAGAAAGCGTTATAATTCAGCTCTGTTTTTCCAGATGTTTTCAGGTGGACGACTACAGCCCGGCTAAAAGCCTCATGACCATGTGCTTCACATATTACTACATTGGTAAGACTCAGTTCTGACTGGAACATTCTTTGCTCAGTATATGTCAGAACGTCTTAGTTTTCTGCCGTTGGCTCAGTGCAGAAGCAACATGGACTGTTTATTGTCTTCATTTAACCTGGAATTTACGTCCATTACCGCTTCAGACTTTTTGTTTTATGCAGAATGAGCTCTTTGGTAGGAAGAGCTGTCAGGAGGAAGCAGAAAGCAGCTGTCCTCGAAGATGAAGAACATGGCTATAATTTCCAGGTTTAAAATGGTCAGATGGTTAGACTTCACCTTCAACCTTTGAAGGTTTTTATCATATCAGGGTATCATTTGATGTTGCTTCAGGTCAGGCATCCCCAAACTCGGTCCTCGTGGGCCGCAGTCCTGCAGGTTTTAGAGGTTTCTCTGCCTTAGCACAGCTGATTCTGATGATTGCAGTTCAGCAAAAGCCTGTTAATCAGCTATCAATGTAAATCAGCTGTGCCGGAGCAGAGCAACCTCTAAAACCTGCAGGACAACGGCCCTCGAGGACCGACTTTGGGGATGCCTGCTTCAGGTTTTTCACCACAAGGGAGACAATGTCTCACTCCAGATAAGGCCCATGTGAAATTCTGGGCAAGGTTTTCATAGAACATATCTTCCTGGCTACAGTCCACATGTTGAAATGTTCTGGTTCTGGCAGCTCACAGTTTGACCTGAAGCAGTCAGTCTGCCATAAAGCTGTCGGCCTGCCGTAAAGCCATCGGCCTGCCTTAAAGCAGTCTGTCTGCAGTCAAACCGTCGGCCTGCCATAAAGCCGTCGGCCTACCGTAAAGGTGTCGGTCTGCCGTAAATCAGTCGGTCTGCCATAAAGCAGTCTGTCTGCAGTCAAACCGACGGCCTGCCATAAAGCCGTTGGCCTACCATAAAGCCATTGGTCTACCCTAAAGCAGTCAGTCTGCCATAAAGCAGTCGGTCTGCTGTAATGCCGTCGGTCTGCTGTAAAGCCGTCGGTCTGCCGTAAAGGTGTCGGTCTGCCGTAAATCAGTCGGTCTGCCATAAAGCAGTCTGTCTGCAGTCAAACCGTCGGCCTGCCATAAAGCCGTCGGCCTACCGTAAAGGTGTCGGTCTGCCGTAAATCAGTCGGTCTGCCATAAAGCAGTCTGTCTGCAGTCAAACCGACGGCCTGCCATAAAGCCGTTGGCCTACCATAAAGCCATTGGTCTACCCTAAAGCAGGCGGTCTGCCATAAAGCAGTCGGTCTGCTGTAAAGCCGTCGGTCTGCTGTAAAGCTGTCAGTCTGCTGTAAAGCCGTCGGTCTGCCGTAAAGCCGTCGTTCAGCCATAAAGTCGTCTGTCTGCAGTCAAACCCTCGGGCTGCCGTAAAGCCGTTGGCCTACCATAAAGCCATTGGTCTACCCTAAAGCAGGCGGTCTGCCATAAAGCAGTCGGTCTGCTGTAAAGCCGTCAGTCTGCTGTAAAGCCGTCGGTCTGCCGTAAAGCTGTCGCTCTGCCATAAAACCGTCACCTTACAGGAAGAACCAGAACAGAACCGTGAAGCCTCCAGTGTCATTCTTCTGACCAGAGCCATTAGTAGTAGATTCCAGACCACTCATCTCATAAACACGTAAATTAGAATCCCAGGGATTTGGAATATAATATATCAAGCTAGAAACACTACCTAGTGTTGCTTTAATCCTTTATAATAAGGTTAACAGAGGGAATGGAGGTTCTTTTGACCTCTTTACGGGTTTTAGTTGATTTTCAAACCAGATGATGTTTATGACGATGCTTGGATGAGTCTTGGTTGATTTAATCAGCCCTGCATTTTAACAGGAACAGCAGCCACAGCTTGCATCAGTGAACATTAGTGGTCTGTGCTGATCCAAAAAGTTACTGCCTCCGGTTGGCGCTGTGGTTGCTGTCTTGCAGCAACACCTCAAAGAAAGGTCTGATTATGATTATGCAACCAGGATGGCGTGTGTGATGAGTGCCTCTGACTCATCACATTGCTGCAACATGTTAGGATGCTCCACCTTTGTGTTTTTGCTTCATCCTGCAGTAATCCTGCAGCTTTGCTCAGATGGACACCGGTTGCTAAAGGCACAGTAACCCAACCCAAAGAGTCGGGTACCTCTGCAGCTGTTTGTTTAAAGGCTTGTTAATTTGATGAGTTGAAGACTGTTTTCGTTCTCAGTCCTCTGAGTTTTAGCTACTTAAGGTGCAGACAAACTTTACCCTGAGCTGTTTTTCTTCCTGAGCCTCTGTTTTTCTGTGGTATAAAACTACCTGCAGAACCAGAACCACAGATAACTGCTGGTAAATCCTCGAAGGACGTTAACTATAAACAGAGAGGCATGTGGGGCTTTGAAGGTCTGGTCATCTTCTTTAACTGTGCAGGGAAGTGTCCGCAATCCCCCTCTGACCTGCTGGACCGCGGCGGTCAGCAGGCAGGTCTGGACTCGTACCTGAACAAGGCCAACTCCTGGCTTTCAGGAAAGAAAGACGTTGCAGAGCGCCTTCTCAAACACACATCGAAAACTGACGTCAGAGGCTTCTTTGGAGGCCTGGAGAGCAAACTGAGGAGCTCCATAGCTTCCAAGTCTGAGTGAGTGACAGGCGTTCTTTGAGTTAGTTTCATTAAAACGTTAACTTGACCAGAGCATGTTTTGTTTTTTTCCTTCTGATGACAGAGAAGGTCCTGCTGAGATGAAACCCAAGTCCCCAGGTAGAAAGCAACACTTCCTGCTCCTCTGCATTTATTCACTAAAGGTCATTTGTTAACAATAGAAAAACCACTAATGTCTGTTTTGATTTTCTTATCCAGGATCAGAAGGTCTAGAAGAGAAGAGAGGAGAAAAGGTTTACCTGTACACTCACCTGAAGCAGCAACCTATATGGTAAGAAGAACCAGGGCCGTTTCTCAATATGTGTACTGGTGCATTCTCATGTGCTCAAGCATGCTTAGTGTGAGGGATTGCATTCTAGTCAATGAGCAGATGCAATCAACTGGTTTTCCTTAGATAGAAAACTTTGACTGTATGATCTGGTGAACTGTAAAACGCCTTGAGATGACGTGTTGTGAATTGGTGCTATAGAAATAAACTGAATTGAATTGCTCGTGTACTCATAAAAAACATCCTCAACCTCAGCCCTAGTACAGTTCCAATTCACTTGAACAGCAGTCCGAGAACGGATAAAGTCCCCAGATGTTCTCGCCCCTCCCTCTTTACTCAACATGTATCAGAGCAGACTTGTCTGTAATTGAAACTGACAGCTGTCCCAGCATGCACTGCGGCAGGACCAGCTTTTAATGGAGCGCTTACAGAGCTTTAAGTATTAAGTTAAAAGTTCTCTTTTCTTTTGCCGTTGTTAAAAAAAAGTATGTTTTAAGATCATTTGCGGCGAGAACATTTGAGGTCCATTTGCCGATTTAATGGGTTATTTTAAGAAAAATTTCCAAAGTTGAGAGGACCGCAGCAACCAATGGACCTCCGAGGGTAACGGCAGCCAGGGCTCACCGCAGCCCGTCTGCAGTGGCCCTTTGTTTTATTTGGCAAAATGTTAATTTGATTTGTGTTTATCTGACTATGTTAATAATTATTCCCCCACTAAATGAAAAAAGTAAGAATTTATAATTATCTAGAGAATATTAATAACAGGAGGTGAAATGGAGCTCTAGACTAGCTTAGCATGTGGTAACATCACGAGTACACTTCTTTTCCAATTGACCCATATTTATGCTGCGTGCTCCCGTTCTTCCAGAGTCTAGACTTTCCTGTGTTCTTCTCAAGAACAATACATGATGAGGACACGAGTCCAAACTCACATTCTTGTGAATTGAGAAACGGCCCAGGTCTAGGCTACAGGGTTCCTGTGGGGTCTTAAAAAGTCTTACATTTGATATATTAGGTCTTATATTATAAGCAGAGTTTCCTCCACCATATAAAAAGCCTAGCGAGCCACTAGGCTAAGTGATTTGTTTGTTTTAGAAAGGCATTGTTTGAGATCAACATGAGACGTTGGAAAAAGCTCCCAGTCTAGCTAGCTAGCTAGCTACCAAGCCGGTAGTTATTAGCTCGACCCCTAACCAATATTATGTGCACATGGTGTAGGTACCAGATCTGCTCAGGTGATCAGACCTGCTCGGGGTCCTGCCCATTCTTATGACGTCAACATATGCCAACTCCACTCGGACAACCGTTTCTTAAAGATCAAATCTCTTTTGGATTCTCAACATATTATTACCTATATTTGCTAGTGTTTTACATTTCATTGGCGATCTAAAGTAGCCGAAAATAGAAAACAATCATTTTCAGTCTTGAAGGAAAGTACTGCATTCTAAGAGTGAACTTGTTTATTAAGGTGACAAGAAAAGTCTCAGTTTATTTTTATTAAGATCTGAGGCAGGGAGGACAAATAAAACATCTTAATAAATGACTTTCATAGAGATTTTAGACAAATAAAACAGTTATTCTACTTGTAAAAGCGAACAGTTGTTGTTATTACGAATTTGAAAGTAACATAACTTAATATGGCTAACTGACTAAGCTAAAAGAGGCTAACCTGTTAGCGCTACCCAGCTCTCCCCTTTTACTGTATATCGTGGTCTTGCAGTTACTTTGTTCCCCATAAACTGATGTTTTACAGTTTTTTTAATCGGTCAGGTAAGACTTCATTGGTCATTAAACATGTTATAACATGCTCCCGACTCTGTACACTGACGCTGCGTGATGTGGTTATCGTTGTCTGGGCAACACAATGTTTTACATCATGTGGCAACGTTCAGCCAATCATGTAGCTCAGCGTCACTGGCATGCACAGGGCCCGTGCAGATTTGACCACCCGAGCAGATCATGCATCTACACCGGCAATGGTAGTGACTCAAGGCTCCACATGCTTCACTTTGATCTTCTATGGACCGTACACACAGAAAAACATATAGCAACAATAACGTTAGCGTACTTTGTGTACCCGTACAACAGAGGGAAGGTGAGAAGGCATTTTTGGACCTCAGGCAGTAGCAGCAGGAAATCAGTGAAAACAGACCAACAGAGAGACAACCAGAACCAAAAAGGGGCTGCCCGCCGGGCCCCCAACTGGAGCTAAGGAACCACAACAGGAAATTAGAGGACCCTGCTGGGGAAACGGTGCGCCAGAGCTGGGAGAGAGGGCAGCGGCTCGCCAGGGTTAGCTCTGGTAGAGACCGAGAAGCACAGCTGTAGATCTGAGAAGCATGCTGGAGAGAGGCTACAACTGACTGGGGCTAGCAATAGAGGCTAACTGCGGAGGATCGACAAAGCTTTGCGGTAGATCAGATAAGTCCAACAGCCAGACAGAACAAGGAAAGCGGGGTAGAGCCTACGGCTGTCCGGGAGTAGGACAGCAGTTTTGGAGAAGCCAGCCTGGGAGCCAGAGCTAGGAGAGGCAACGGCTGGCTAGAGCTAGCCTCTAGAGGCTAACTGCGGGAGATTGAAGGAGGACAGTTTGGGATCACCGCACCCTATCGGGTTTAGACAGAGCGGGGCATCAGACGGCTGGTGTCTGCGCTGGAGGTAGGATGAAGAAACAGTTCTTCTCCGGAGCTGTATGCGGCTCTTTAGCTCCCCCCATACGACTCCCTGGAGCTTTTTCAAAGTTTATGAAAAAAATTTTTATGTTTATTTTAAAATGGTGTGCAGGAGGTCAAACAAACATTCATTATGTTTCCAAATAATGTAAACATTTGTATAATAAATACATTTAAACAATAAGATGTAAACATTTCTTTGCCATTTTCTTGGCGTAGAGTCCAGAACCATTGCTACAGAGTTATGAGCCATTTGCCTCACCTTTAATCTCCACCGTCCCACAACCACACAACCCCCCCATCAGTCCATTTCATGAACTGGACCAGATCAGAACCTATGCGGGTCTGACCTCCAGAGAACTGAGAGAGCTGCTACGTACAAAAATATGTTTTCCTGAATGATACCAAACATGGAGCATAGATGTGATCTCACCAGGTCCGTCTGCAACTTTAGAAGCAATGTATCACTCTAACCGTTTTCTTGGCCAAGATACTCACAGGTATCAGAACCAGAGAGGTTCTGATATGGTTATAACAATGGTACGTTTCCTCTGACAGGCACACGCTGAGGTTCTGGAACGCTGCATTCTTTGATGCCGTCCATTGTGAGCGGACAAAGAGATCTCCGACCACCAGGTGAGTCCGTGGGTGGGTGAGTGGTTCTGTTGGAGGTCGTTTTGAGGATGCACAGTGATGCGTCTGCCTCTCTGTAAAATCTTTTCCCTTCCTCTTCTTCTTGACCTTTTTTAACCTTTGTTTCCTTGTGCCTTGCTTCCGAGCAGTGGAGCGCAGGACGCAGAGGGAGACAAGAGGTCTGTTCTGTATTTAAGTCCGCTGTTCTAGCAGTGATCATGGTGATAATGGTGTACGGGTAAAAGGGCAGAGAAGCACTAATGCATCAGGCTCAGTGAAGCAAAACATCTTCATTTACTGAACTACTAACATTTTTAACCATTAAATCGCTGCAGGCAGAGCTTATTTTGTAAATGACCAACGCCTGCTAGCATTAGCTTAGCCTCATGGCTCTTGTCGTCCAGTGTGCCTCCATGACTCCGTGGTTTCCTCTGCTTACCCAGAGTCCATCTTCTGGCCATCTACAGCGCCTCTTCTTCTACTGTGAGTCCAGCCTAAACGCTCTCAGCGGAAGGTACTCCTATTTATGGAGCTCCCTTGCTATGAAGACAAACCCACATGACCTTGTCCTCAATTGTAACAGAAAATCGTCGGTGTAGAGGCGACCAAACTAAGGCGGAATGTGTTGGCTTAGCTGTCCTACTAAGCTCTCCACAACCAGTAAGGTCTGTTAGAAGATGCTGGTCTGGGTTTGGGTGGCTAAGCTCCTCCAGGATGAAGGCCACAGTGATCAGCTTTAGTCCAGCCATAAATGGTTCTGTGTTGCTGTGTCTGTTATCCATGAAGAGAAGGCCGCTTGGTTCCTAATGGAGCCATGAAGACCTGTTCCAGACCCTTAATGTTCTACCACTGCAAAAACGACTACATCTTCCACTGAAGTGATGGCTTCTCCCAGTGTCCTGGTCCAGCTCAACCAATCCTGCTTCCCTCCTACCACCCAGTAGGAGGTTCTGTCTGGCCAGTTTAGCGTCTATATGAGGTTCTCCCTTCCAGACCTCCCTGGACTTTACTGAGCTGCAGCTGCTGGTCCAAGTGGTCCCTGATGAGGCGGCTTGGATAAATTGTAGAGGAATCTATAAGACATAACCTGAATGTTGTGAAGTTTTATCTGTGACTGATATCTGACCTTTGAAAGCATGGAAGCTAAAATCTTTCAGGCTCTGAGAAGATCCAAGTTTTCTTCTGCTCTTTGATAATCCCACTAACAGGCAGCAGTGTTCATAGAGCTCAGCAACAGCTGACCAGTTTAGCATCTCCCTTTCTGGTTCCCCACTCAGTTAGACGTCTTCCTGAGCCTAAAGCTGGAGGAAACCATTGGTTCATGTGGTTTATCTGAAAACCCACCAAACAGCAGCTGTAGTTATAATCGTCCTGCAGTTTTTAATCACGAAGAGATGTAAAGACTAATGTTAGCATGTTCTAGATGTCAGGAACTAAGGTTGTCCACTGCATTCTAGTTCTGCTTTGATATTTCTGTGTGTTCTTTGTCTCCCTGCATGCTAACCCCCTCCCTCATTGTGCAGATTCAGTCAGTGTAGGGATGTCTGTATGTGGAACAGTTCTCAGCTCCCCGCATGTTCTCTGCATGCTCCCTCTGTGTTTCTACACATGGGATTACATTGGGATTATTCAATAGAATGAATAATCAATGAAATGTTTGCTTCAAAATTTCTACAAACAGTAAATTGTGGAGACACAAAATAAAACGGAGCATTCAGACCATTTTTATTATGCTTTGGTTTTGCATCAAAGCTGAACCCCCTCAGCCCTGATGAGTCTTTCATGGACGGGAACAGGTCCGACTTAAAGCTGGCAGTGAGGACCGAACTCCTGCTCCGACTCCATACTCCTGGAGCGCCCCCCACAAGGCCTTTGTCTTCTCCAGATCAACAAAACCCATGTGGTCCAGTTCAACCCTGGAGAACCCTGCAGAGAGTGTAGAGCTGGTCCAGAACAAGAACCACTGCCCCTCCTGAAGCAGATGTTCAACCATAAGCCGGATGATGATGTACAAACTGATCAGTAGATACAGCAAGAAAGCAGCAATCAAGCTTTAAAGTCGTAGGGAAGTCATTTTTAAATGTCAAATCATTCTGGCTTAAACATGTATATAAATGTTCTCTTTATCAAACGATATTGTCCCAAAATTTGTCTGTCTGTCTTAAAATCTTTTTTTTCCCCGTCATCTTATGCAGGCCAGTTAATTATATGTCAGCCTGAACACCTAAATTCCGCCAATCATATATCAACAGATATCTGTCAATCAAATTTTTTCGGTCATAGCATCTTGATTCATATGTCGCAGCTAATTAGAGATGGCAAAAGTACTCACTTTCTGTACTTGAGTAAAACTACAGATACTTGTGTTAAAAAATACTCTGGTAAAAGTGGAAGTACTGATTAAACTTCTTTACTCAAGTAAAAGTAACAAAGTACAGGCTTGTAAATTTACTTAAAGTATAAAAGTAAAAGTAGAAACCACTTTTTTCATGCCGTTGCCTACATTTTAAATGGATGTCTGCCAATAGGACTAGATCTCTGTTGTGTTCATTTTCAATCATCTCGTCGTCCATACTACTATGCTAATGCCACCGCCACCAAGCTGCAATGATTTGCTGCGAATGAATACCGCCGAATCTGTCGATTCATCTTGTAGTGGTGCGTCAAATGCAACGTAGATTCCCATCCAATTAGATTGAATTTGGTATTGATGACATGAAAAATAATAACGGTAACTCCATTGAAATGATTCAAAACTAAAGTAACGAGCCAATTTTTTAAAATGTAAGGAGTAGAAAGTACAGATATTTGTGTAAAAATGTAAGGAGTAGAAGTAAAAAGTCGCCATAAAAATAAGTAGTAAAGTAAAGTAAAAATATCAGAAAAATCTACTTGAGTACAGTAACGAAGTATTTGTACTTCGTTACTTCCTATCTCTGCAGCTAATAAACGCAACGTTTGAGTAAGAAATAAGAATAATTTCCTTTCCCAATGACTTCCGTCCCAGTGTTCACGGGGATGGACGTCTGTGTCTTCAGCAGGCGTAGAGCTAACAGAACTGGCAGCGTTGCGAGGCAAGGGCTCAAACATGTACGGCTGTAAGCCTTCTACACCAAACCAAGCTTCTGCCGCCCTGGCGTCTTCTTCCACAACATCTTCGTCCCCCTTTCCTCCTCTCAATAAAAAATGTATGAAAGAGGAGACTCATCCACGACCTCCGACACTAAACTCTCCTCCTCTTGCATGTTTCCGCTGTCCATAGCGTTCCTTAAAAGTGTCGTTTCTAAGTCACCAATTTAGTGCTACTTGGTCCCAATGGAATTTCCCATTGGGAACCTACTAGCACTAAGTTGCTAACTGGTTAGCAAGATGCTTCCGACAAACCGGCCACAACCAAACTTGCTTGCGAACCTTCCGCCACAATAATCCCGCCCCCTTGATAAACGACCAATCACATTCACTTTATTCACTCGTGTAAAGTCGTGCACAACTCGGGAGAATTCGGAAATGCAATGATTGGAACAGCTGCTTCCTTACGACTTTAAATCTGGGTGTAGTGATGGACTCAGACCTGAACCTTCAGAGGCTCATAAAGACAGGAACAAAGTGCCCAGTTCTAAAGTCCTTCCTCTGGCGCCCCCTGTATCTCAGAGAATAGACTTTAATATCCTTCTGTTAGTCTAGAAATCACTGAATGGCTTCGCTCCAAAATATATTACAGACCGGTTGGCAGTGAATCGACAGCCAGACCTCTCCGGTCTACTGGATCAGAACCAGAACCAGACATGGAGAAGCAGCTTTTAGTTGTTCTGCTCCAATAATCTGGAATAAACTCCTAGAAAGCTGTGAAACCTCTGAAGCTCTCAGTTCCTTTTAATCCAGATTAGAAAGGTTTTTGTTTTGAGGCCAGAATCCTCCTCAGAAACGCTGAATCCTACGTCTGTTCCATTGATCGTCTTCAGTGCTTCTGTAATAGTTGCTCAGAGATGCTTCAGGGGATGAAAACTTTTCCCGCTGCTGGTTTTATTGTCTTCTTCTGTCTGCTTGTAATGAAAAGCAATGATTCTCAGTGAGGGAATCATGTGCTGCTTTGCTGCTGATGGCTGATTCATTTCATATCTGGCTAACGTTCAGCGTTCAGAGTTTCAAAACATCCTGCAGCTTTTATGGTTTTAAACCACACAGGCAGCCCTGACATTTCTGAGCTACAGGCTGCTTTGTCACCCAGCCCTGACCCGTTACTGTGGCAACGATTAGAAAGGACCAATCAGAACTCAAAGCTCTGTCTGTACAGGGAGAAGTGGTGTCACATGACCCAGGAGGAGAGAGACGACAGCTACAAGATCGATGAGAACATCGCCTTCGGGCAGCTGGGGTAAGGAAGCCACCTGGGATGGTTTAAAGCCAGATCAGAGGGGGATGGAAATTAAAAGCTCACATGTCACGGAGGTTCAATAAATAAAAGGAGCAAATTAATAGGATAGATAAACAGTTCATAAAAAGTAATTTTGTAACTTCTACTTGGTACTTTTGGCTCATGCCAAAAACCCAAATTCAACCTTTTATTTTCTTTCTTTGACCAGCAATATAAATTAAAATGTCTTAGTATTATCATTATTATTGTTGTTAAACTTTGATTAAACAAGAAAAAGTCACCATTCGGATTGACAGGCCCTTTTATAAAGGAGACCTGGCAAAATAAGATATAATAAACTAGATAATAACCAGTTACAAACATTACATGTTAAACTATATAAAGATTGAATTTTTAAAGACTGTTTAAAAAAAGAAAACAGTTTGTAGAAAAGGTACATCAGATGGAATAAAAAAACCTGATAATTTTAGGAAATCATCTGAAGTAACGAGCAGCTTCATCACAATGAATTTATTGTGTTTGTTTTTCCCAGGAGAACCAAAGTAGACAATTTCTGTAACTAGCTATTTCCTATAAAGCAATCAATTCACTTTGACCAATAGGATTAGTTTCGTGCTCATTTACAATCGATTTAAATTCTCCCACTGTTATCAAGTCTCCCAATGTAGTCAAGTTCAGATTCTTTTGTAGATTATTCCAAGGGAAGGTGAAGCTTGTCTAAAAGCTGTCTCACCCAGTTCTGTTCTGACCCAGGAACTTCCATCTGAAGGGTTCACAGGAACACAAGCCACACTGCACTTTGTTTTTACACCTATAATACAGAGGTTAGGTGGAAGGAACCCAATAATACATTTATAAACAAAAGTGAACCAGTGTGTGAGTCTAAGGACATGCAGAGATGGATAATTGTGCTCTCTTCGTCCTCTGGCATGGGAGCTGCCTTGGAGCTCGTCTGCCTGGCTGTGTGTTTCCTGGACGGGGCCGCCTTTTACAGCTGCTTTTTGTATCTCTGCTTCTGTCTCCTTGAACCCCAGTCGGCCTCGGCAGATGGCCGCTCACACTGAGCCTGGTTCTGCTGGAGGTTTCTTCCTGTTAAAAGGGAGTTTTTCCTCTCCACTGTCGCTACAAGCATGCTTAGTGTGGGGGATTGTATTTGAGTCAATGAGTCAATGCAATCAACTGGTTTTCCTTAGATAGAAAACTTTGTATCAATTTGACTGTATGATCTGGTTGAACTGTAAAGTGCCTTAAGATGACATGTGTTGTGAATTTGGCGCTATATAAATAAACTGAATTGAATTGAATTGAATAACTGGCAGCTGCAAACAGGTTACAATGGTGAACTCCATTTCCACAGCCACTAATAAAGCGCAGGGCAGGATGGTACACCCTATCCAATTTAAGGTGTTAGGATGCCACATTCATAAAAACCAGACAACCATGATCCAACACCGGTATCAGTAAACAGTAGATGACTGCGTCATCTGCATAAAAGAGTAGATGACTGCATAATTTGCATGAAATGGTAGATGACTGAGTCACTTGCTTAAGGTAGTAGATGACTGCGTCATCTGCATAAAAGGGTAGGCGACTGAGTCACATGCTTAAGATAGTAGATGACTGCGTCATCTACATAAAAGGGTAGGCGACTGAGTAACCTGCTTAAGATAGTAGATGACTGCGTCATCTGCATAAAAGGGTAGGCGACTGAGTCACCTGCTTAAGATAGTAGATGACTGCGTCATCTACATAAAAGGGTAGGCGACTGAGTCACCTGCTTAAGATAGTAGATGACTGCATCATTTGCATAAAAGGGTAGGCGAATGAGTCACCTGCTTAAGATAGCAGACAAAATCATTTGCATAAAAGGGTAGGCGACTGAGTCACCTGCTTAAGATAGTAGACAAAATAATTTATATAAAAGGGTAGGCGACTGAGTCAAATGCTTAAGATATTAGACTGCATCATTTGCAAAAAAGGGTAGGCGACTGAGTCACCTGGTTAAGATAGTAGATGACTGCATCATTTGCATAAAAGGGTAGGCGACTGAGTCACCTGCTTAAGATAGTGGATGACTGCAATATTTGCATAAAAGGGTAGGCGACTGAGTCACCTGCTTAAGATAGTAGTCTGCATCATTTGCATAAAAGGGTAGGCGAATGAGTCACCTGCTTAACATAGTAGACAAAATCATTTGCATAAAAGGGTAGGCGACTGAGTCACATGCTTAAGATAGTAGACTGCATCATTTGCATAAAAGGGTAGGCGAATGAGTCACCTGCTTAAGATAGTAGACAAAACCATTTGCATAAAAGGGTAGGCGACTGAGTCACCTGCTTAAGATAGTAGACTGCATCATTTGCATAAAAGGGTAGGCGACTGAGTCACCTGCTTAAGATAGTAGACTGCATCATTTGCATAAAAGGGTAGGCGACTGAGTCACCTGCTTAAGATAGTGGATGACTGCAATATTTGCATAAAAGGGTAGGCGACTGAGTCACCTGCTTAAGATAGTAGTCTGCATCATTTGCATAAAAGGGTAGGCGAATGAGTCACCTGCTTAAGATAGTAGACAAAATCATTTGCATAAAAGGGTAGGCGACTGAGTCACATGCTTAAGATAGTAGACTGCATCATTTGCATAAAAGGGTAGGCGACTGAGTCACCTGCTTAAGATAGTAGATGACTGCATCATTTGCATAAAAGGGTAGGCGACTGAGTCACCTGCTTAAGATAGTAGATGACTGCATCATTTGCATAAAAGGGTAGGCGACTGAGTCACCTGCTTAAGATAGTAGACTGCATCATTTGCATAAAAGGGTAGGCGACTGAGTCACCTGCTTAAGATAGTAGACTGCATCATTTGCATAAAAGGGTAGGCGACTGAGTCACCTGCTTAAGATAGTAGATGACTGCATCATTTGCATAAAAGGGTAGGCGACTGAGTCACCTGCTTAAGATAGTGGATGACTGCATCATTTGCATAAAAGGGTAGGCGACTGAGTCACCTGCTTAAGATAGTAGTCTGCATCATTTGCATAAAAGGGTAGGCGAATGAGTCACCTGCTTAAGATAGTAGACAAAATCATTTGCATAAAAGGGTAGGCGACTGAGTCACCTGCTTAAGATAGTAGACTGCATCATTTGCATAAAAGGGTAGGCGACTGAGTCACCTGCTTAAGATAGTAGACTGCATCATTTGCATAAAAGGGTAGGCGACTGAGTCACCTGCTTAAGATAGTAGATGACTGCATCATTTGCATAAAAGGGTAGGCGACTGAGTCACCTGCTTAAGATAGTAGACTGCATCATTTGCATAAAAGGGTAGGCGACTGAGTCACCTGCTTAAGATAGTAGACTGCATCATTTGCATAAAAGGGTAGGCGACTGAGTCACCTGCTTAAGATAGTAGATGACTGCATCATTTGCATAAAAGGGTAGGCGACTGAGTCACCTGCTTAAGATAGTAGACAAAATCATTTGCATAAAAGGGTAGGCGACTGAGTCACCTGCTTAAGATAGTGGATGACTGCATCATTTGCATAAAAGGGTAGGCGACTGAGTCACCTGCTTAAGATAGTAGACTGCATCATTTGCATAAAAGGGTAGGCGACTGAGTCAACTGCTTAAGATAGTAGACTGCATCATTTGCATAAAAGGGTAGGCGACTGAGTCACCTGCTTAAGATAGTAGATGACTGCATCATTTGCATAAAAGGGTAGGCGACTGAGTCACCTGCTTAAGATAGTAGATGACTGCATCATTTGCATAAAAGGGTAGGCGACTGAGTCACCTGCTTAAGATAGTAGTCTGCATCATTTGCATAAAAGGGTAGGCGACTGAGTCACCTGCTTAAGATAGTAGACAAAATCATTTGCATAAAAGGGTAGGCGACTGAGTCACCTGCTTAAGATAGTAGACTGCATCATTTGCATAAAAGGGTAGGCGACTGAGTCACCTGCTTAAGATAGTAGATGACTGCATCATTTGCATAAAAGGGTAGGCGACTGGGTCACCTGCTTAAGATAGTAGACTGCATCATTTGCATAAAAGGGTAGGCGACTGAGTCACCTGCTTAAGATAGTAGACAAAATCATTTGCATAAAAGGGTAGGCGACTGAGTCACATGCTTAAGATAGACAAAATCATTTGCATAAAAGGGTAGGCGACTGAGTCACCTGCTTAAGATAGTTGACTGCATCATTTGCATAAAAGGGTAGGCGACTGAGTCACCTGCTTAAGATAGTAGACTGCATCATTTGCATAAAAGGGTAGGCGACTGAGTCACCTGCTTAAGATAGTAGATGACTGCATCATTTGCATAAAAGGGTAGGCGACTGGGTCACCTGCTTAAGATAGTAGACTGCATCATTTGCATAAAAGGGTAGGCGACTGAGTCACCTGCTTAAGATAGTAGACTGCATCATTTGCATAAAAGGGTAGGCGACTGAGTCACCTGCTTAAGATAGTAGTCAAAATCATTTGCATAAAAGGGTAGGCGACTGAGTCACCTGCTTAAGATAGTAGACTGCATCATTTGCATAAAAGGGTAGGCGACTGAGTCACCTGCTTAAGATAGTAGATGACTGCATCATTTGCATAAAAGGGTAGGCGACTGAGTCACCTGCTTAAGATAGTAGATGACTGCATCATTTGCATAAAAGGTTAGGCGTCTGAGTAACCTGCTTAAACCTACAGTGTGTAACTTTTAGCGGCATCTAGCGGTCAGACTGCAGACTGCAGCAACATGAACATCTCCCCCCCACCGCTTCTCCCCCCCAACAGTACGGCGAGCGTTACGGGACAAAATGTCTTCCACGACGTCCGCATCACCTACCTTCTCAAGTGATGAGGTTTGTTTACATAGATAATTTTACAAAAAAGTATATGCACCACCTTTCATCAAATCACGAAACCACGCCCACATTCTAAAGTGACAGCCGGAAGTCCCGCCTTAATTAATATAAAATTAATATTAAATTCAAATTAATTTGATATAAAATTAATATTAAATTAATATAAAATTGATAAAAAATTAATATAAAATTAATATAAAAAAAAATTTGAATTAAAAAAATAATTAAAAAATTTATAAAAAAATAAATAAAAAAATGCATATAAAAATTAACTATGTTATTTTAATAACGGTTATGATGATTAAATGATTATTTTTAATTATTTGTATTGATTTCTTATATAATCACTGTTAGCACTCCGTAGACTGCATCATTTGCATAAAAGGGTAGGCGACTGAGTCACCTGCTTAAGATAGTAGACTGCATCATTTGCATAAAAGGGTAGGCGACTGAGTCACCTGCTTAAGATAGTAGACTGCATCATTTGCATAAAAGGGTAGGCGACTGAGTCACCTGCTTAAGATAGTAGACTGCATCATTTGCATAAAAGGGTAGGCC